TATTAATAACTTTTATATATTTAAAATAAATTAAGAAAAATATATTATTTTTACATAAACCTTAACAAAAAACTAGAGAACAAACTATAGATTTGTTTGTGCTGCATGTTCCAATGTGTTCCTATAATTCTTACTCCAAGTGCTTTGTCATGGCAGAACATTTGGAGCATGTGGAGCATATGACGCTAACAAACCCATAATGTTATATTTTTCAGTTTTTTGTAATAAACTTTATGCTTAAATACTAGAAATTGAAGCAAATGGACTCACATTTTCAACAATTGTATACAGCTAACTGCGTAATATTTAATAAAACTTACCAACCACCGTGGAATATTTACGTCATCTTTGTTATAAACTTTGTTTTCTAATAATCTTGGTAAGAGTGTCGTCAGGTCAATTTTGGATGCAATACTTTCGCAGCAGCTATCTATTTGTTCGCGATCCTTTTGGTCCATCTTGAAGATGAAATGAGATATTCACTTCAAAGAATCTGCGTTTTAATATCCTGCGTACGTATCTGGCTTACTAGCCTACGATATAATTCACTCAAATCTTTCCAAAAAGACCAGACAAACTTAATAAAATTGCATCAATTATATTTATCTTCTTCTCCGTTGCCTTCTTCCTTTTTATTGCTCCCACACTCCAAGCCTAGGATATAACTCGGTCACTGATTGCCGAACCTACTTTCTTGATGCTATAATCCGAAGATAATATAACACTTGAATCTTCACCACTTTTCCTAAGGGTACCTAAAGATGACTAATTGACTACCTGACTACTGACTACTGAGAGCAACTGAGAGATTTATGAGAAATAGAAACAGACGGCTGTTTGTGGTACTAACCTCAACTGACTTAAGCCTATTCTACAATAAGCCGTAAAAATTGACCAATCGTAATCGAATATAAGGAGAATAATCGATTACAACTGGTCAATTTTTGTGTCTTACGGTCATTGTAGAATAGGCTTTAGGGTGCAGTCACATGGAGTCAGAAATAACGGAACGGAACAGTAACGGAACATTGATAGAAAAGAGATAGAACAATCCTATCTCTTTTCTATCAATGTTCCGTTCTCATTCCGCTATTTCTTTCTCCATCGGGACGCACCCTTACTGAACAATGAAAAACACAGACAATAGAAATAAGGAATAAGAGATTTCAACCTATCAGAAACCATCTATAATAGAATGAACGCTGGATAGAAAAAAAAAATCCAATCACAAAAAAAATTATCCAATCACATTTTACGTGCATCTCTATAAGGGAAATGCGTTTGGATAATTTTCTTTATGTATGCGTTTATGCTACTATGCAAGTTGTGTGGATATAGTTTAAAGCGGGGAGCACAGACTTTTGCATAACGCATAAACCATATTATACATAAAGAATTTGATTGGTCCATTGACTCATGCATAAGAAAATGGACCAATGAAATTCCTTATGCACATGCTTTATGCGTTATACAAAAGTCTGTGCTCCCCGCTTTAACCCCTACTTATAATTGGCGATTCAAAGATCTCTCTGCGCGCTCCTAGTGGCGGCCGGTAGAAGCTTCACTAGTCAGACACCTTATACATGCTATAATGGAAAATAATAAAGTAAAATCAAAAAGAAATACTATATAATGTTTTGTGGCACAATACCATAATTATAAACAGAAAAGGATCAGTTTTCATCACTTAAAAAATAATTTTTTTTTTAAGTGATGAAAACTGATCCCCTTCTGTTTATAATTATGGTATTGACCAATGAAATTATAAATGTTCTAGTAAATCACTTTTGCAATTTTCACCTTATTTCAAGATACAGAATCGATCTCCAGACCTCAATTTTGTCGTGAAACAGCCCTTGAATTACGTTAAATGTAATAGGCCTTCTACAATAAGCTATTACCTAAGTTTTAAGTATAAGTCATAAGAAATTGATCACTCACAGTCGATTATTCTTCTCACATTTGATTGTGATTGGTAAATTTCTTATGATTTAACACTTAAAAATTTAAGTAATGGCTTATTGTAGAAGGCCTATAATAAAAACAATCGACTGTGATTAATTTCTTACGACTTATAATCCCATTGTACAACAGGTTTTACTAAAAAAAAACTACACTTTCGCACAGGAAATAATATAAAATTATCAATATTTTATTCGAAAGATTACATTTATTATAAGATTTTAACAAGAGGAGGGAAGGTACATAAATACATCCACCGCTGAGATAGTATTAAAGGCTGATTTTATGAAAGTTCGCGCGACTGTTAAAATTTAAGTGAAGAGTAAGAAACTAATAATACAATAATTTCACAATTTATTATTTACGTATACATGCACAGATATATGTAAAACTTAATAATTTTTATTTAAAATTGTGATTTTATAATGTTATAATCTGAGTTAGATAATAAAAATAACTGCAGAAAAAAATTATATTTTTTCGGCAATATATAAAACGTTATAACATTAAAAGTATGTGTAGTTATTCAAGCAACATTTATATAATAAAAAATAATAAATTTAATCATGTATTATCCAAATATTTATGTTAAAAATCACAATTTTTTTTTATTAATTGTAGACAATATCGTTTTTTAATTATCCCGAGACCTCTAGCACTCTAGTGATATAGTCACAAAAATGTAGCCAGCCGTTTTTAATAGTATCTCGTCAGCGATACACAATCTTATTGTCTCATGCACAAGGATAACTATATATATATATATATGAAAGTATAAAATTAATAAAACCTATAATATAATTCGTTATATATACACAAATGTACTTCTCATCACTCGTCATAAGTTATCGCATTGAGTAATTACTATTTCATCGCAATAACTTTTTCGATGTGATTCTTAAGAGTCTCCAATTGATGCATTGTTTCTGGATCCAGTTGAGGAATATTCGACATGCGTAATCCTTCTTGTGGTAACAAGGACATTACATTACCATTACTCAAAGGTACATTAATATTAGCAGTTTTTTCCTCGACGACAGCAGAAACCAAGAGTGGACTGCCTTGCATGCTGAGAACCATTTCTCCTTGACGTGGACGCCTTAATACATTCAATGGTGTGTTAGGTTTGACTTTTGGCGTAACCACACCATATACATTGTTTAGGGGCTTTGACATTGCTGGTGTCTGAAATTTATTGTTTAGTAAAAACTTTAGATAGTCCTTACATTTGGACCAGAACTGGGCATATATTTGCAATACTTTTATTTAAAACAAAATTTTTTGCAATAAAAATATATTTTATATTTCATATTTAAAATTTGAAGGTTGAAAGGTTCATGTATTTTGTAATTTAAATAATAAGATTAATTGTCAATCTTAGTATTCAAAATACAAAATACTTTTATATACTCTCATGAAATATAAAATATAAAACATTTTCATATGCTTCATGTAAAATATAAGATACAATTGCCATACAAATACACACTATTTTTAAATAAAAGTATTTTAAATACATGTTTCGAGCCTCAATTTGAGCTTACCATCGACTGATTAATTTCACTGAGTTTGGCTTTGCTTGCTCTAGTTGAACGTGTTTTCTTAGCCGGTGTAGCTTTAGTCAGTACTTTAGCGACCCGTGACATACTACCTACGCTAGTACCTCCGGTCGCGTATCCATCGTCAGATGCAGCTGTACGTTTAACAGCTTTCCCTCTTCTTACTTTGGGAATGGCTGGTGGTTGCATACGAGGATCATTGACCGATGAACTTACCTCATTATTGCAATTCTCTTTATCATTGTCATGATCCTGCCTATCTATTAACTCGCCCAATTTCATTTGACGAATGTCGTTTGGTAAGCGGGAAATTATAACGTCGATACAGGTCGTGAAGGTCTTTAAATCTGCCATTGCGTCGCGTTCCATCTTAGAGATACAGAGCTGTACGCGTTTCTCGAAGGTCTTTATCGCCGTATCGCGTTCCTTCATCGAACTACCCGTCATTTTGTTGCGCTTGGTCCTTGGCATTTGGATTTGGATGCACTGAAAATTACGTCAATGTACGTTAATAATTAAATCTCTCGTACGCGCGGTGCGTTGAAAAACTACTCGCACCTGTCAATCTTTTGACGAATGTAATCAATCCGACTAAGAGAACGACCGTTACCAACTAGATTCAATTCATTTACCGACAAGCACCGATTAGGCGCGAGAAGGAAAGACCGGTTTCCTTCCGCCTCTTGAAAAGAGGAGGCAATTTTCAGCGCCACCTAGTGATGAATAAAAATGAAACTTCTGGTAAACCGCGAGATACAAACGTCAAATGTTTCTCGGAATTTAAAAGAGGTGACAGAAGTTGCTGATTTAATAGAGATCAAGTACAATTAACCGCGATGAGCGCTAATTATTCTTCCCAAAATCATACCTCGGATTACAAACGAAACGAACAGCAGGAAATGCTGGTCGCCCCACCGTTAGATTTGTCGTTTAAAAAGGCCAACACCATGGACGGTACATAAATTAAAAGAATGTCATTTTTTAATTTATTATTTTGCGAGTTGATGCTGCACATTAATAATTTTTTATCGCAAACTGACTCTTATGAACGTTAACAGCTCATTCACCGGAAAATCTACCTTTTTTCTTCTGATAGAATTGATGGAGAAACGTGCACAAGTAATACGTACTGGAAAGGCTCCAGTAAGAACGTTTAAGGATCGTTACATAACCAGCACGTTATGGCTGAGCAATAATCTACTGAGCTCGATGGAAGGTCTTCAACGTCTCGCTGATAGAGTTCTCGATGATCCAGTGTATCTCAGTTGGTTGGATTTGTCTTTCAACGAAATAAACGAGATTGGAGAAGACATAGAAAAGTTTACAAACTTGAAGATTCTCTACTTGCACGGCAATAAAATTGCGAATATCGCAGATGTTTTAAAGCTGAGAAAGTTACAGAATCTCAGGTCGCTAACGTTACACGGTAATCCGATCGAAGACGTTCCTTGCTACAGGGGTTACGTCGTACATCTTCTCCCACAGTTACTCGTCTTAGACTTCTCGCCAGTAATTGCTGCTGAAAAGAAAAAAGCGCTGCCCATAGGATTTTTTAAAATGATACAGCAACCTGGGATACGAATATAAAGTTTATTTTCATATCATTGAATGCTCTTTTTTTGATATTCACTTTCTCCTGACATTTTTATTTCCATAACTTTTTTGTAACACCATGTTACTTGTTATTGGAAGTATGGCAACTTCAAGTAAAACGTAATTACATATGAAAAATTCAATACTCTTTTAAGAACAATATATATCTAATTGTTAAAATTTAATCTTATAGTAAATAATTATAGCAATCTTTCAAGATGAAAAGAAGATGCTCGTAATTTGTGTGAATCATAAACATTGACATTGTTTGTGCCTATTAAACATATTTGCTTATAAAGATCTGTCAGACATTATAAAAATTTATACAAAAAAAAAATACATATTGATACATATATGTATATAGAATATTATGTTTATCTTCTTGATTTTTTTCCCTGATAAATTTCTATAAACTCACGCAAAACATAAAAAATGCTTTATATATTTAAAAAAATTACAATCTTTATCGATTTCATTTAATAATTTTTAATATAAATGATATTCCTACATTTAAACAATGAAAATACTAAACTAGTTTACGAAAATATAATATATGATATATTATCGATAGCAACTATGTGAAATTCAAGTAATCTCGAAAAACTGAGTATTAATTTTTCGAAATACATTAAAAAAATTGCAGTAGACCTGATAAAGTTCTGCTGTACATATTATAAATTAATTACAAATAATATTTAAATCATATTTCACAACATAATGTAACAATGCTGGCTACACGTTATTTAGTGTAGTCGTCTACTACGTTTACTACGATGTTTGCTTGATTTCTCCAAATCCCTATCCCGAGATCGACTTCGTGATCTATAACTACGCGATCTTCGTGACGACTTATGACTACCCGATCGTCTTCGTTGAGTTTTCTTGGATTTGCTAGATCTACTATGACTGTGACTTCGAGATCTACTTCTGCTATGCCTTTTACGCTTATTTGAATATTTTGTTTCTTCGCCTCGTGATGGGGAAGTACTTGGAGATTTTGAACGTCTAAAACACATCGAAAAATATTTAAAAGTGCATCAATGACAAGTTTTTTCCTTATTTATAAACGTTTACATTGTAAAATTCAATATAAAATTTTATGAACGATAATAATCATACATACACATTGTTGATTTTCATAAATTAAATTAGAGAATATAGCATAAGATTCCTACTGTAATAACTGTATAATTACATTTTAAAAAATTACACTATTATGAAGTATACTAATACGAATCTCTTGACATAATTATACTACACTGTATATTTTTAAAAATAATTTATAACAATATTTTTATACATAATATAGTATGCGTTTATCCTTATTTGTTTTCACTCGCGTGAAAACATCATCATACCTAGGTGATTTTGTTCTTTCGGGAGCTGCATGTGTACCACTGCGACTGATAAATCCACCCCAGGCGTTGTGATGTTTCGGCAACGGTGGACTCGGCGTATGCCCATCAACATCTCCACCGCGCGCCTTACTTCTGGCCTCTTCATACTGACGTCGCAGTTCCTCAACACGTTTTTCCAATTGCTCGGGTCGTACGCGCGGTCGTGAGTAAAGACGCAATATACATCGACATACGTCTCTGATTGCACTTTCGCTGACCCTAAATACTGAGAACCAAGCGGGTGTCGTCGGTAGAGGTAGCTGTAATTGACGAGCGGCTAAATAAATGCACGCGCAAGCCACTGTTTCCGGTTGATAACGCAAAAACACATCGGAACGTAATGAATCGTTCATGTAGTTCCAGCTTTGTTGCATCAGCGTGCGGTTCTTCTCATATCCCAACACTTGCAAATACATAACTATAATCTTGTGCGGATGTTTCACATGAACACAGAAACCCAGTTCTTTCAACACTCTTCTCTCTGACTTGATCACTTGGTTCTTTAAAGCCACATAATTCTGATCGAGAATTACAGGTTGTATTGATCTGAAATAAATAATAAAAATGAATTCTTTTAATTTTTTCTCTGCTCCTCAATTTTATATTCCTAATTGTTCATAAAACCAAAGTAATAAAGTAACTTACTTTTGGCTGGATACTTGTTTTATGTGATTAAAAACACTGATGACATCCCTGATACGCCTAGGTGCTTCTTCAATTTTGCTGGCTAAGCAGATGCAACCCATTGCAGTCGTTTCCATATTGTGCCTAACTAAAGATTTACTATAATAAAATCGTTGGAATATTACTTGTCCTGTAGCCATTGCAACCTACACAAATAAATGTAAGGACCAAAAGGACGATTAGATCTTGACATTCTGTAACATAACTTATGATATATCAACAATATTTAACCCTTTAGGGACACAAGCAGAGATATTATTCCATTGCCACACTTTGATTTTGTTGTGCGACACATGTCGACATATATCCAGCGTGCACGTCGCCATTCTCATTTGTCTACATTAGCCACTCTGGAAATCCAGACTCTGGAAATATATACATCTTAAGCTGTTTTTGTCAGTTTTGTACTAATTGTAAGTGAACATATAGTTCTGTCCGCAAAGGGTTAAAATAATGGTAAAAGCAAAGTTTTTTGTATAAAAAATTAAAGTAAATAATATACATGTAAAAAAACAATATATTTTTAAGTAAAATTGTTCTAAACGTTCTATTTTTTAAGAAAAAGTTATATTCAATATAAATATTGAATTTATAAGATTTATTAAGATCTACAATTCAAATTCCTTTTTCAATACAATATGTATACATTATTTCAATAATATTCAGTTTCATGTGTACGTGCAAAGCTTTACTTGTAAAAAATTGAACACATACATAAACCAATTATCAAACATATAAACGTATAGCTAAATTATGCAACAATTTCAATTAAAAGACTTAAGTGATAGTAATTGTATGTACATTTGAATAAAATTAAATGTGCAAAATTGAAATAACGATTAATTAATGCAAAACACATGTGCTTAAGAAAGTAGATTACATCTTGGGGTAAAATTTTCAGAGAAGTTGAGATTAGGAAAGTTCAATATATTATAGGTTCCAATTATTGGCACGCGAAAACTTACCTGCGGTAATTTTAGGAGAATACCGGCCGTCTGTATAAGTTCGCATCCGAGTATCCGCAAGTCCGTTTCGGTTTCCGCATCAAGACCATCCAAATGCGACGGGGTGGTGTTGAACTTTTCCTCAGGAAGAAGACAGTTTTGCAACGTCAACACGATCTTGCCCAGTGTTGCGGTTTTCAACCCGCTTGCAGCACTCGACGGTAGCGCCATCTGTCGGCGGCCTAGCGCAACTGGTAGCACACACAAGCAAAGCTCTTCTTCTTCTTTTTCTTCCTTAAATAATGGCTCCCGCCTCCAAGCAATGAAATAGGAGGTCTATACGGCCAGATCACGTCTTTAAAGTAAACCGTACAAAAATATGAAAACGAACGGGTGATGCAATGCCCGCGAAAATGGCGTTGCTCGACCGGTTTCCGAGCGCCTGCGTCTACAGTGTCGTCACGTAGCAATAACGCGCGTCATAAGAGCCCTAGTCGTCGAAAAGCGTAAAATGACGAACAATCGAGACGAGCTCATCCGCAGACACGTGTCTGTGTGACGCAATGCACAGTCAAAGTCGGCAACACTCAGAAATATACAATGGAAAGCACCCGCGAACCTGAAACACGTCGTCACCACAGAACATATACTAAGAGAAGCGCAAGTACCGTGTTAAACGATGGCGACAAGAACGATCACCACGTTCCTAGTGGCCTGGCCGACGTACTACGTAAGCTTACTATTCGCTAAAAACAGGTCACGTGATCAAAGCGATGACGAATAGCAAGCTTACGTCGCTTGACGCTCGATGTTTAACGTCGCCATGTAAAAATACCTCTACCGTTCTGTATTTAACTGTATTTATCTGTATTTTAAACTTTTACATCTTTACATTCGTTTTGACCAATTTGGAACTAATTTGTTGTCTAATGGACGATAATCAATCACTTTTAATTATCGCTAGCAGTTTACATCTGTTGTCTGTTGAACATGAGCCGAACACGAGCAGTGTAAGAAATTATATTTAATTAATATATTATATATACACATACATACATCAGGGAATGGAAGTAACTCGCGTTACTTGTAACAAAGTTACAGTTAGAAGCTATAATTTTTTGGTAACTTTACTGGTAACTGCGTTACTTACTTTTTTTTTGGATAGCGGTAACGAAATTTACAGTTACTTTGCATACGATTGAATACGTTATATTCTGTTATATAACAATTACATGTTATAATTTACGCCAGCTATAAATGTGGTTGTAGAACATTTAAGTGTTTTTATTTAATACAAGCGTAAAAGCATTTAGTTTATCTTAATCTAAACATCGTACATATTTTGTTCTAATTGAGCTGTGTACAAAGCTTTACTCTGTACATTTCTGTGTACATTTATGTTGAGCAATTGGAAAACACCTCTTTTTACAAAATTTCTGTTGTATATATTTTAATTATAGCGTTATAATTTTCTTTCTATCAAAATATTTCATTTGCAGCTAAAAGTATAGATTAAGTAAAAATATAGCTGTATTATATAATAAAGAGTTTATTATGTGTATTTCTTAATTTTCTTTTTATATATAATCTATAGTTTTTTTTTCTGCAAAGTATAAAAAAATTCCTATACATAGTGTCAGTGTTGTACATGCTATATTATATATTGCTTTTATTAACATCTAAAAGTTACCTTTCGAGTAACGGTAACTGTAACGCGAGTTACTTTTAAAAAGCGATAACTATAGGAACGGTAACTCGTTACTTTTTTTACTCGGTAACGAGTAACTTGTTACTTTTAAAAAGTAACTTTCCATTCCCTGACATACATATATATATATATGTAAGTATATATTTAATCCTTATATATACTCAGGACTCTTAAATAACGCCCTGCACTAATCATACAATTATTTCTCATTAAAAAACTGAATCAAAAAGTCCTCTAACATTTTGCAAATTCAAGATATGAATTTCTAAAGATTGCCGAATAAACGGAATAAACGAATAAAATCGATGCATAAGATAATTCTTTTGTGAGATATTTTGAAGACGTTTCGTAAAGAACTCAAACATATCTTAAAGTTGTCTTGCGTTGATTTTAGACATTTTGCTGATCGGGGTAACTAAAAAATATTTTGAAAATTGTAAAATGCAGGTAGAGAACTCTTTGACTCAGTTTTTTTTAATCAGAAATAGCACTGTATGATTAGTGGGCGTTATTTAAGAAACACTCTGTATATTGTATGAATTTCGTTATAAAAAATTGTTAGAAAGATCTAACTCCTTTGTGTAGATTTCCAACTGAATGCCCTAATTACTATCTATATGAATACATAGAATGCTGGATTTATCTTATGTAGACCTTATCTTATGTAAATTAATATTTAAAATATTAATGAACAAAAATTAGTAATACATGGACAGTTTATTGATAGACATTGAGATATTACATGTAAATTGGGATTTGAGAAATATTAAAAAAATAGAGGAAATTATTTTATTGTAGAGAAATTATTTTATTTTAAATTTATTAAAAGATATAACATAAAAATTGTACAAATTAATACATGATAAAATGTCGATGATGTAAACTGTAAACTGAATATTTGTATTAAAAAATTTTTTATATACTTAGTAGACACTTTTTTACTATTTTACATTTTTCAATGTGTAAAAGTAAAACTAAACCGCACATTTCTAATTGTAATTACTTGAATAAAAATTGTAGGAAAAATTTACAATAGGAACGTAATTCGATTTTAATGAGTTCACACAATATGGATGTATTCGTGATTTACTCGTTGTATATTCAAGTATATATGAAAATGGTGTATTCTCAAATAAAGTGTCTAAATTTGAGTCATAAGAAATTTTTTTACATCTCAGAGACTGTCAAGAGACTTAAAGACGTCTTACGTCACAATTTCAGACTTTGTGTTTGAGTTTTTTTTTTAAATTATAATACATGATCTTACCTTTTTCTTGTAAATTAATATTTAAATACAGAAAATACACTAACTTCTGATTTATAAAGTAACAGGAATTTCGAGACAAGAACTTATCCCGTTCTCTTATTATTACAATAATTATAGATATATATATATACAAAACCCACAAAATAATATAATTAATATAATACAAAAACGCATTGCATGCGATAGCATAACGTATATAACAATTATTATACAACTTATTGATATTACGCTTGTTACTAATACATAAAACATAACATAAGAAATAAATTTAATAAGATACTAACAATAGCACTTGGTTGAAAGATTCATTTTCCAAGAATATTGTTCGGATTTGTGTGTGTGTATACATGTAGGGTGTTCGAAAATTCAACCGACAAACTTTCAAAGATTATCGGGGACATCAAAAGGTTCTACTTACTGATCTTATGAGTTTGACCTTGGATAGTATCGCCAAGGTCAAGTCGAGATTATCTTTATTGGCTGGATCAGCCACCGATCTTGCTTACGTCAACTTGACTTTGGCGACACCGTACAAGGTAAAATTCATAAGGTCAATAAATAGGACTTTTTACACCATACAATTTTTTCTTGAAATAATTTTTTATAGACCTTATATTTTTTTAGATATTTCGAGGTCCGACCTTTTTTCGAACACTGCCGTAGCAATGTAACGACACGCTTCCGATCTTAAGCTTATTTGCAAAAAAATGATCCTTTTAGTGCCCTCAACAATCTCTGGTGGTTTGTCGGTTGATTTCCGAATACCCTGTATATAGAACTGTATTCGCATCTATGTAAAATATTCATATTCGATTTAGTGCGACATACATTATACAGTTTGTCGGTTGAATTTCCGAACACCCTGTATAATAAAATATATAGATAGCTATAGATAGATAATAAAAGCTTGATACATTAAAATATATTTTATTAACAATTCGCAATTCTATGAAAGTTCCTATAAACATTCATTTTTCATAAACTTGCTTCATATACGGTATACAAGAATAATATAAAATGTTTTGTTATCTCTACAAAATAGTAGCTTTACAAACATGTCTTCAATTTTGTAATAATCCTTAGCTTTTCAATCTGTCTGCTTATCGGATCGGGTTTATAGATATTTTAATCAGAGTCTGATAGTGCTAACGTATAAAATGGAAGATCAAAAATGCTTAAAAATTTTAATTTTCTAGCACTTGATATGAATTAATAAGGTTTATTATTAGAAAAATTGTATATATTTAACGTGTAGATGATTTTGAACTTATAAAAAATGCGAAATATTGGATGCGAATACGGTTTGTAATTTGTTTCAGCTTGGGTTACTTTGGCTTTTTGTTATCTAGGTAGCTATAAACAGTTATAATTCACTGTCACTTATAGTCGAATCTCCATATTCTTAATAACGTTTTTTTTTACTATTTTATATATTTGTTACCTGTATTTGTGCGTGCGTGCTGTGTGTGTGCGTGTGCGTATGTGTGTGTGCGTGTGTATGTAACCATACACACAATCATATGTAGAGTAAGAAAATGAATGGAACACGATTGAAAAGCACAGGCAACAAACGCAAAAATAGCAGATTTTAATCTATCAGAAACTGTGTGGATGTTTTCCATTTAGTGACACACAAGCTGATACAAACATTGTTCTATCCTTCCTTGATGAGTAACAAAGATAGATCAACATTTATGTTAACTTGTATCATCAAATAGAAAATACGATGTACATCAAAATAATAAAATATACAGTTTCTAATAGATTGAAATTCCATATTTCTGTACTTTTCAATTGTGTCTTAAGCTTAAATAATTCATTTTTTTTTGCATATATGAGCAATAGAGTAAGGCCATTAGAGGAAAAATATTAAGAATAAGATGTCTGGTCCCGACGCGTTAAGAATACAGAGATTGGAGTACTATTAATTGGATAGATATTGGACCAATTGTTTTATCAGGATCTAACTTTAGTAGTAAATGTTGAAAACAGATTGAAGCCTTAAAATATACAAGATGTAAACTCATGTGCTGATAAGCTATCTCATCCATTAATCAGTTAAATCGTTCATTCAAAAAGTTATTTTTAGTGTATGTATATGCATCAGCGAAGAAAATTTTCAGGCTAAAAGAAATAGTAACAGTAATGAATTCTTTCTTCTGGAATGTTACAAGTTTTCGAACTAGTAATGTATATATAATTGTGTGTGCATAGATTACTTTATGTATATTATTTCAGTACATGTAAAAGATTTATTCTTAAAAATTTTGAAAAAATAAAATTCTTGATCTATTGTTTTTTACATTATATATTTCATGTATTCTATATACGTATATCGTATAGCGAAGTAGTTGTTTTCATTTGTAAGATTCTTTTCTCACATGAATTGTAGTAACTGTATATATTTCAATGAAAAAAATAATTTTATGCATCTTTCGATTTATACGACAAATTCTTAGAATTTATCTGTGCTCGGCATACTATATATTTTTCTCACCACTGTTTTCTGCATATGAGACTGAAATTTAATGAAACTTCCAGCCTATAACAAAAAGTATAATCAAGATAAACAAAACAAGGTCTTTGTCAAAATTATAAATCTTGAGCACGTATTATGGAATTGTACAGAATAGATTCCAACCAAAATAAAGTCCACTACACACAAAATAATATAAGCTTGAAATCATTTTTGCAATATCGTATGAATCGGTACATACGATCTCTCTCTTTCTCGCTCAAAATTATCTTGAAAAATATTTCAATTTCATGAAAGATGTGTCATTACCGCTTCTTATTATTATCATTTTCGATAATTTTTTGCTCGATTTTCCTTGTCTTCGATTTGATAAATTTGTATCCTTCTATTCGATTTGACTCACTTTTTATCGTGGCATTCAAACTCTTGAGAAAATTTCCCAAATGCTCAGCAGCTACAGGATTCTTCACCCAATCAGTTGAAGGAAAAACTGCTAGCAATTTTTTTTGCACAGAGGTCAATTGTTCCGCGATTTCACTTGTTTCCGATTTATTGACAAACTTATTCTTGTCGTTAGTAATGGTAGAATCATCAACGGTACTGTTGCCTGAATTTGTTGCTGATTCCGAAGCTTGAACTATATTCAATGACGTGTGAGCGTCCGTTGGTACTTCCTGATTCGTTAAGGTTGAACTCTTACTCGTCCCCGAATTCTCTATCGTAATCGAACTGGAATCCGGACTATCCGGTGACTTGCTGCACGTCACTTCAGAACTAGTACTCTTTTGTTTATTACTTCCATTCGAATTGTTGTCGTTGATATTAGTACCACCGTTCTTAGTGCTACCCTCATTTTTCGCGTTCATCATACTATCATTGCCAGGAGGTGGTGATGGTGAAGCCGTTGATGATACGATATTAGGACTCGTTGCTTCGCGATGCTGTTGCTCCCGTTGTGCCGAATTATCATTAGTATTAATCGTTTCATTTTTGGACTCGACATTTGAATCTCTGGTTGTCTCATTGGTGATTTTATCATTATTTTTCGTACGTTCACTCTGCGACGAGAACCTATTGTTTGTATTTTCAACATTCGAAGAGTATCTCTTTTGGACACGAGAAGTTTCACCTGTGGATTCGAGAGCTTCATTGTTACGAAAAGCTGGAGGCTTGTTTGAGTCAGCCGAGACTGTTCGATTAACGTTAATGTTTGTGGATTTTTCAGTAGGTTGTTGCTTGTTAATAGCAACTGCTAAGGGTGTCACGGAAGATCTCGCGGGTTTAATAGGTGCACATTGAGCGGCCAGATGACTCTTTCCTGATATACCACCAATATTAGGATTAATATTGTTACTATTTCCAATCGTAGATAATATTTCATTTCCTATAATGGGTCGCATTTTCAACCGTACTGCATCCAATTGAAACTGCTGAAGATTTGGCGCTTGATGAAGAGCATAAAGACTCGGCAGACTCGGGAAGACAGACGAAAGATCTGTGTTTGATCGACTGAGACTACCGAAGGACGGCGCATAGACAGGTGTACGCGATGACGATGGCGATAACGGGCAATCGTTGACGCGATGAGCGGCGGGTGTCAAAGAGCCTGGCGGCGCTCGGTAATATTTGTGACCACTCATCAGTGTCACCACTTGACCTTGATCAGAGATACCTCCTAGTTGCATATTATCTCTACCTGTTATAACTTTACTAGGCTTATGAACTTTTGACACCGGCTGTGGAATTCTCAGAGGATGTATGTCCATCTTTTTATTGCCTCCACTCAAATCCAGAATATCCTTGGACGATTCATATTCTCTTTTCCGTTTGACAATAGGTGGTGTCATATGTTGTTGATTTGCTGCTGCCTCTTCACGATCTGTCATCATCATAGTCAACGACTGTTTTGCCGCCGCAGCCGCCGCCATTGTCGTCGCCGTCCCTGTTGTTGCTGACTTAGCTTTTGACGGAGTAGATGGCATTCTGATCTGTCCAGTCTTTAGAGCCTTCAACACGCGTGGATCAACCGAACAATCGTTCAACGTGATACTGGGATTTACTTTGTCCATCGCGACTTTCCGATTATTATCACTGGAATCGTTGGATTCGACGAATTGTCCAGAAGATCCCGGAGATTTGGGTGAAGTTAGTGTTATGCTCAAACTCGCTGGAATATTCAAACCGTAGCCGTCCACTAATAGATCTCTAGTATCGTTCGAAGTCAATGAACCAGTCGATGCTTTCGTGTTATTCATATTGGATATGCGGCTCGATCCGGCATCTTGATCTCCTATCACACTGATCGCTCTACTTGTAGGAACTACATGTTCCGAGGAAGAAGTGTGCTTGTTAATAACAGAATTATATTGGAAAACATTTGGTTTCTTGTTACTTTCCTGTCTAATTAGTTGCGATGATTTTCGACGCTTTAAGTCGATAATCGGTACACCCGGAGGACACTTCCTCTTGACCGCTCCAGCTGGAACAATTGTTGTATCGCTGGGAAAGGTGTATACATCTGTTTTTGCATGATTGCTGCTCACGATATTTATACTGTTTAAACCCGTTCTTGAGTTACACGCGCGTTCATCAGCAATACGTTTTGTCATTATATTTGTCATGGTAGTGCTATTATTTGCGTTCGAACCGGTATTTTCAATGTCATTCTTTTTCTTCTTGATTTCGTCAGAATCCGTTTTTCTAAGAGATTCTTCTATCTGCAATATTCGTTTTTCAATGTTCATTGTAAAATTAATGTCTCGAGGGACAAACTTGCTATCGTCCGACATTGATGGTTCTCTAGCGGTCAATTGAAAACCTTGTAGAAATTGCTTCTTGTCCTGCTGTTCCGCCGGTTTTTTTAATGCAGTTTTAGGCGTAACGTTGATATTAGGAGAAGTCTTCTCGGACGTCGGAGATCGATCCATAAAAGTTACTTTACGTCGTTGTTTTTCTTGTTTACCTGGTTTCGTTGTGAAAAATTTGTTTTTATCTTGCTGTTGCTGCACTGGCTGGATTGTTAACCCGCCCAATGACTGTGGTGTATCTTTCTCCGTTCTGCCGCATCGCAATAGAATATTGCTGATGACTCTTGGTTTCTTCGCACTATCATTCTGAGTTGGCGGACACTGTTTCAACGTTATCTTTACACCGTTAGAATTCACAACACTAAACTCAGGATTCGTAGAACTCTTGTCCGTAGTAGCGGTCGAATTTTTAAGCACCTCGTATTTTCCGTCTGGATTCTTCAGTATCTTGATTGGACTCTTTATTTGCTTATTCGAATCGTTGCCTATCGTGTTCGTCTCTGATAAAGGAAATGCAATCGTTGCAGTGGTGGTCACTGTCGCAGTATTTGTTGTTGTTGTTGATGTCGATGACTTTATGTCCACAGTAGTCGAAATTTCGTTTTCTTCATCTTTCTCTTTGTTTTCGACTGTTGTTTGCTTATGATCCATGGATGAGACTACTTCGTCATTGACAGTCTTGTTCAAATTTTTTGCTGGTACTGTTTCAATACTGTCGTTCGTAGATTTAATCTCTGATCTGGAAATTTCTGAATGGTTAACGGGATTACTTTCTGGAGTACTGTCGTTCCGCGGCTCATTCGGTGGCAAACACTCCCGAGCTCCGAGTCCTGGCGTCGATGGTCTTTGATGCAACGGCGCTTCGAGTCGTTCCTCTTGTGCCACTCGATAAAAAAACCTCATCGGTTCAATCTGTGCAAAAGACAAATTAAATATTAGTAAAATATTTTTGTATAGAAAGTATGATACAGAGAATATGAATTATAAGACAGTGTAGTTATAACAGATACATATGTTACAAGAACATAATCTAGTCTAGTTTATAATGCTTGTTGTCTCATTGACTAAGTTCATATATCTATTATATCTATTTTGTAAAAATCAAAATGATAGATACTCGAATAAGAAATTAATGACATGATACAAACCCTTTTCCACGCATAAATATAAGCAACATCCATAAGAGTCCAATTTTCGGGAAGTGTTGCGCGTCGATGGCAAATCTCGATGGTGTATCTCGTTACATCTACGCTGTATTTCATTGCTATAAATTTTTTCAGGTGTGCAACAGTTACTAGGGCCGGACATTGCAGATATCTTCTGTTGTTAGCAATATTATCGTTGTAATCACTGTCATTATTGTTAGTACTGGTAACATTGTTTGACTGATTTGTATCAATTTCATTGGTACTCAATATAGTCAATGGATCTGCTCCAGGTGGTAGGTACTCCAAGCTCAAACTCACTACATCCTCGGGATTAAATATTAAACGTCCGCTTACATCCTCGCCGCGTTGCTCTGGTGTCGCCAAGTTCGCTAATTGTTGGAAAATTAAGATTTAATCAACATATATTATTTACGAGTTAATGTTTAGCATATTGTTTTATTAATTAATTATACAATCTAGGCGTAAACTTAGAACGATCAATTACCGTGTTCGGAATGCTTCTTGTAAAATTCTCTCCTCTTTAACATTTCCCTGTGGTATAACCCGGGCACCAATTTATATACAATAGCTTGTAACGCCTTGTCAGCTCTATAAAGAGATCGCGATTTTAAGCACTTTTTAAAAGTAATAATCTGATCGCCTATTATTATTACACAAATACAAATAGATGGCATAAATCGTTGTATAAATTATGAAAAAATTATTATCATACTTGATATTTGGCTTCGCCTTGTTGATCGCATGTTTGCACGATGGACAGTGCGCTGCAGTATTGAGATACTTCAAGATGCAGCTTTTACAAACTGAATAACAAAAATAAAATATATTAATAATGTTAATCCAATAAAGAAATCTAAACGCGCGCTACTTATATTTCGATTTTACTTACAAGAGTGTAAACATTCTCCCACGGTTGTGGCATCTATAAGATAACCTCGGCATAATAGGCATATTAAATGTGGATTAACATCACGTAAGAGTGTCCTTTTGCCGATACCGGCCATGTTTTCGTGGACAAATAAATTGCAAAGCACGAAATCTGTAAAGAAAAATGCAATCATTATCGACTTGTTAATTCAACACTTTAATATTAGAGTGTTCAATTAGCTACAATTATTTGGAATTATTCCAGTATGTAAGTAGTAAAATTGCAAATTAAAATTTAATTGCACAATTGCACATTTTTTAACAAAGCGTTTTTAGATATATATGTTTATAACAATTTATTTCATTTTGTTTAATTGTTTTTCCTATTTACTATAAAATTTTAGTTATTACTTTTTATGGTATTTTTACATACAGATTAACTTTGTATATTCTGTATTAAAAGAAAATAATGTAACAGAATTAATAAGAAGTACTATAAAGTTCTAATTTATTCATTTGTCATAATTATACGTAAGAAAACAAGTTTAAATATAAACTAAACACAAAAATATGGATATGGATAAGATTATACTATTACAATGATTTCTTGAGCGATATTATCGATGAAGTACGTTTCAACTAAAAACTACGAAAGATTTATACCCATATTCATAGTGTCAGTCCTTATATTTAAGGTTTCTTTAAGTTTATCTTCAGATGCTCTACGAAATATTTTACTGGCTACTGAGCATCTAAAGATAAATTTAAGGAAGATAAGATCCTTAAATATAAGATCGGATTATGAATACGGGCCCTAGTGATATGAGGAGCAGACTTCCAAAATGCATCTTGTTCAATGTTTCATTTTTTGAGTTAGAGATGGCATAGTGTTCAGTATTGAAAGATTCATATTTCATGCTACTTTACGATGTTCTGAAAGCATTTTTTTTCACCATGAATCTACGAAGAAAATCTAGACATTCGAAAAAAAAAGTGCATTGTCTCTTAATTAACTAGAGACAAACAAAGTGCATACTTTTATTAGAAATAGTTTTGCAATTTTGACATTATACATCTTATTGATTGGCAAATTGTTATTTTTTGTCGCGTGATTTTCTTGTGGCTGTCTTTCTCGTTTTCTGAAAATTATAAATTTTGGACGAAACGCATTTTAAAAGTTTGCCTCTCGCCATTCTCTTGACATTCTCAAAATATTCGATATTTCCCAACAGCTGTATTCGCAATTCATGTTTTGATAGAGAAGTACCAGCGATCTATCATTATGTCTAGCTAAATTTTCCAAAGGTTCTCAGGTAGCTATCCGGTTATCCCGTTGTTGCCCGGCAGTTCCCCCTAAGTCCGCTCATGCCCGTCCGCATACATATATATACGGGTACGCGTTCCCTATTCCCGTCTCTGTTTAGAATCGTCCTTTCCATTTTTCCGCTTACCCACCGGCGCGGTTAAACCGCCAAACGTCCCTTGCAACGTGATATACATTTGCGTGTGTGCACGCCCGTCGAATATACATATACCTGACGGTATTGATCGAATATCGCGGTATTTTGCGGCCCGACGATAAGCTCGACTCACCTAGTTAACGCATAACATTCGCTAAATATGTAAAAAAAATTCCGATTTTTACCTGTGCCCTTTTTTCTCTTTTAACGGCACGTATCGTATATATATACAAAGGTTCCATATCGCCGAGCTGATGAGTGACAACATGCACGTCGTTGTCGCCTAAGAGAAACAGATTCCGCCATTTACATTGAAACGCGTCTTTTTGTTGTAGCGTCCATTATTCAATACGTGCTCCATCACTTTCTCATTTATGGGAAAAAAAAAAATGGAAATAATCTAAGGAATTCGAAGAAAATCGCGCAGAACCGGAACAAGAAGACGCAAGACGTATTCGCGGATAATATAACTGATTCTATTTATGTAATCGAAGCGTGCACGTGGTTTACGCAACTGGAAGTCAAGGCGTGTACATTTAATCGCATTATAATCGTCAGGAAAAGGAATAAGAGACTTTCGGGTAATGGAATAACTGCTCGACCGTCGATTTATCTTTATACGACCCTATCGTTAGTTACTCGGATTACTGCGCTCCCGAAGCATGTCTCGCGTATATATCGCGTTCTGCGATGTCTAGTACCGTGTCTATTTATATCGAACTGCGCCAAGAGCAGAGGAGCGAAATTCTCACCGCGGCTAACGAAACGCGGGAACGCGAAAACGCGACGCGGACTCCGAAACTGAACGAAGATATATTTCAAGTGATGTCCCACGATCAAATATTTAATAACGTTATAATGGATAATACGTTACAGGACAATATAAAAAGTATACTCTTAGTTTTCGCCTGCTATATATATTTTTACTTTTAATAGAATGATCTACGAGTCCTGTAGTGTAGACAGTAAAAGGTACACGCGATTGTTTTTACAAATAAATTTTTGATATCGGTATTATACTTATTTTGAACAAGGTTGATAAAGACTAATGTTTTTTTTTTTTTTTATAAGAATAAAACTTTCTTTTTAAATATGTTATTATAATGCTTCAAATATGTTTTAAACAAAATTATAAAACAAGCATATTTAAAACATATTAAAAATACCCATTAAGGGGATCCTAAAGCAGAGCTCTAACGAAATCGCCAGATGTCGCTGTTTTACAACACATCGACATACCTTTTATATACTACCACACTAATATCTCACAGTGATGCACGCAGTCGCATTACCTGTCAATTTTCGTATCGTAAATTCGTCGCGGTAAAGTGTCCAAGCCTAAATTCTAAGTACTCGACGCTGTTTGTTCATGCAAACTGTGTGACTGTGGACTACTATTTCTCAAGTACAGATTGCGCAGCTTTTGTATGAAAGAAATGTTGTTACGACGTGCAACGATGTGACAGCTCTGGAACGTCATATTGGACTAAAAAATGATGAAGAAAACCTCAATTTTGAAATTTTTTTTTATCGTTTTCAGCATAGATTCTACCTCACACGTATTAATGCGTTTACTTTAATAATCCTGTAAAAAGATTTTCGAATCTGTGTGAATGAAAACGAAGTATTTACGATACAAAAGTTACATGGTTTAGTCGATATACAGACGACTTTAGGATCCCCTTAAGTACGTTTTAAATTTAAACTGTTTCTTAAACATGTTTCTTACCAACCCCGATTTTGAATCTCGGTAATATAAAGTCGGGCCGCGATCTCGATAACACGCGACACACTGATAAATATTACATTTCAGATATTTCAGATTTAGGAAACGTTCACAATATTGAGCCCGAGTGTATGCAGCTACATTTTCTATTGCTGCCAACGACATGCTGCATGCAAAAAACTATAGCAATCCTCTCGGTATGGAAGAACCCTCTCGAAAAATTCACTGCGTCCACGTAACGCAATGAATATGAAGGGAATCGCTGATACATATACAAAAAGACACACGTGCTGCGGAAATTAGCACGTGCTACGAGCATCTTCGTGTCATCTCCGCGTGTGCGACGCGGCGGCGCGTCGCACAAAAAAAAAAAGAAAAAATGAGCGCAACGGCGAACGTTGAAGGCGGCCTTTGTGTTGGGAGTTCTCGCAGCATTGGCTAATGCTCAAAGCAACGACGCGCTTATTTTTTTTCTCCCATCTGTCTTGTCGCGTGACACCGCCTTAATCCGAGATGCGTGAATTCTGTCAACGCGACGAGCCGCGGCTTCCTCTTTATTTCGAGAGATTTCACGAGATGTCGGAAATTCTTGTCGGCATAAGCATTTGACGTTTCATATTTTCCCACGCGATTTTCACCCTTATGCCACATTGTTCGTTACGTATTTAATCCACGGATTCTGAATTAATTTACGGTCAAGGAAAGCAATGAGATTCATGAAAATAAACATTCTTATCGCTTTGACAAATGCAAGAGAATGCGTCAAGCATGAATTAACGTAATGACGCGATTATTATGGGAATTAAAACGCTCGAGCAGCATCGTCTTGGTATTTATGTATATGTTGGTGTGACTAACACTTGCGAAAAGTATACGGAGCGTTCGACGACTCCGAAGCCAAACCACCGTTCGCAATCGTCTAATGGCGTTTTCGATCCGACCGGGTTTGTGCTCTATTCTGGGTTGGATTAATGACGTTTCATGTTCTCCTATTGGCAGAGCGTGTAAAACCCTGTCGGGTCGAAAACGCCATAATCAATGTCTGTCCTATAATAGAGCTACAAGTCGTAAAAGTTGATCAATCACAGTTGAGAAAAATAATATCGACTATAATTAGTTGATTTCTTACGACTTACGGCTTGCGGTCCTATTTGTAGAACAGGCTAAAGAGATATAGAAGCCACGAAAAACGAATGTCGAGGGAGGTAGGATTTGGCTTTCTCGTTAAGCGGAAAGAAAGCTTTTCTATCTACTAGAATTCGCGATTATGAAAGGATTAAGCCTTACTGTGACAAGAATGACTAGATCCAATCAAGTAGATGTTCATTTTGTTTGAATATGATTGCGAGACATGATAGATACAATACAACTGTATTTAAAATTATCTTCTTGTATTTTTATGATGTTTAATGTTTTTTCCCAAATTGCCTCCGAAGATTTTCGATAAAATTAAGGATTCTGCGGTGTTTATATATATATATATATATAAACATTTGATAAAATTCCTCTGCAAACTTTTTACAATTTTTGAACTTGATTAATATCAATTGTAACTAATTTTTAAAAAAAACTTCCTGAAAACGTACACATATTTTATTTTTGGAACATACAAGTCTTCACGAAATTAAGAGTCACACTGTAGGTACTTTGCTATTCGAATTATAAGCAACAAGCGTCAAACATTTTCGTAGGAAAATAACTCGTTTATTAATATTATTATATGTTCTCGAAATAAGAAATTTGCCTTTATTTTACTTTCTTCAGTTACTCGTATACAATTGATAAAGGATAGGATTCTAAGTGAAGCGTTCAAAACCTGTTCTCTGTTTATTGAATCCAGAATCTAAATTAATTCTCACCAGTTTGCTCACATTCATAGAATAATAAAAAAGCAAACCGAGTATACTCGCTGAATGCTGCTCAGTTTCGGGAAGCGTTCTTATCGAGCATA